GATCTCCTTTATGACTACAGGCATGATTAATGTTTTCTGTGCTTTTCCTTCCGCCAATATTTATATCAGCAGGTTTGTGGATGAAGGAAACATGAAAAGTGTTCATTCGAACGCCGTACTTCCTGACTGTTAGCCGGACCTGCTTCAAATTACCCGACGAAAGAAGAGAAGATTTGGAGAACAAGCATACAAGAAGATTTGAAGACTAAGAAAACTGAGTCTAAATTCAGTTGACTCTCTTAACCCATCACTGCTGGCATTGGCATAGCAGCTGAGGAGCTGCAGCTTGAATTTATTGACATGCAGTCAGATCACACTGTGAAAAAAATATTTAATGCTACGACATTTGTCTGCTGAAAAATTTACATGAAGAAATTCGGTGGGTAAATGTTATCTATATTTAGACCTACATATATCTGTGAGCGAAGTTTCCTTGCCTGAGGATCTCAACAGAAGTAAATATAGATCTTCTTTGACAGACAGTAACTTGCAAGCTTAATACACTTAAATTGGCGTATAATAAACACTTAAATTGGCGTGTAATAAACACTTAAATTGACTCAGAAGTCAAACAACAAAAATCAGCGTTAATTTGCAAAATTTTCACAGGACTAGTTTCGATGGTTTTACCGAACCATCATCTTCAGCTGCAAAACCGCAAATGAACAAGATAGGAAATAATGCTTAGATAAGATAAGAAAGCCTGGACAAGAATAAGCAAGTGGCGCCATCTGTTGGCGAAACCAGAACTAAAACATAATTTCTCTAAAAGCCGAAGGCAAATTTGGATTGGAATTAGGATCGTTAACTAGAACAGAAAGATTTTTATGAATGGAAATGCCTCTAGAAAATCCAGTTTCTCCAATGGAAGATGTTTTTTGAATAATTTTGGCAGCAGAAAAATTGAAAGTGTGATTTTCGGACCAACAATGTTGAGCAACAGAAGACTTCTGTGTTTTCCTTTTTTCTAACATATGCTTCATGTTCTTTGACACGAAATTTTAAGGCTCTCTTAGTTTGGCCAATGTAAATTAAACCGCACTGGCAAGGAATCCTATAAATACCCCAGGAATTCATATCCGGAATGGGGTCCTTGAGTATAGAAGTTGGAATTTTATTGATGGGAGAGTAAACAACCCGAAAGTTAAATTTCTGCAAAATATGTGCAACTTTATAGCTAATTGATGGAAAGAAGGGGAATGACAAGAAGTTGGAATTTTATTGATGGGAGAGTAAAACAACCCGAAAGTTAAATTTCTGCAAAATATGTGCAACTTTATAGCTAATTGATGGAAAGAAGGGAATGACAAACAGAATTTTTATAATCTCCTAAAATAAATATAAATATAAAAATTCCTAATATAAAAATTCTGTTGTCATTCCCTTCTTTCCATCAATTAGCTATAAAGTTGCACATATTTTGCAGAAATTTAACTTTCGGGTTGTTTACTCTCCCATCAATAAAATTCCAACTTCTATACTCAAGGACCCCATTCCGGATATGAATTCCTGGGGTATTTATAGGATTCCTTGCCAGTGCGGTTTAATTTACATTGGCCAAACTAAGAGAGCCTTAAAATTTCGTGTCAAAGAACATGAAGCATATGTTAGAAAAAAGGAAACACAGAAGTCTTCTGTTGCTCAACATTGTTGGTCCGAAAATCACACTTTCAATTTTTCTGCTGCCAAAATTATTCAAAAAACATCTTCCATTGGAGAACTGGATTTTCTAGAGGCATTTCACATTCATAAAAATCTTTCTGTTCTAGTTAACGATCCTAATTCCAATCCAAATTTGCCTTCGGCTTTTAGAGAAATTATGTTTTTAGTTCTGGTTTCGCCAACAGATGGCGCCACTTGCTTATTCTTGTCCAGGCTTTCTTATCTTATCTAAGCATTATTTCCTATCTTGTTCATTTGCGGTTTTGCAGCTGAAGATGATGGTTCGGTAAAACCATCGAATTTCTTTAAAGTCCTGTGCAAAGATGGATTGCAAATTAACGCTGATTTTTGTTGTTTGACTTCTGAATTAGTATTTATTCGGCGTGTTATTGTGTCTTACTTAAATTGACGTATGAGACTTTTTGACCCATATTTTTCGATATATGTATAATGCATTATATAGCTATATAACGCATTATATAGCATTATATGATAAGAATTTCAACAAGTAATTTTTAAAAAATGTAGAAAACTGTGAGGAGGTACATTTGTCTCATTAAACTGATTTTAAAATTAAATGTGCTTGCTGCTGTAGATGAATTGAAATTAGCCCAATAAATAAAGTGAATAAAATTGCCACTGCTTTATTTAATTTAGATTATTGATTTTTATTGCACAATTTATACATTTTTCTGAAATGCAAAGTTAATGCATGGAATCATTTTAAAAGGTGCGATTATCCGCTGACTTCCGCTTCCAGAAAGGGGCCCTTGAGCCAAAACAGTTGCCCATCCCTGCTTCCCTGCTCTAGATGAGTTTTTTTAAGCTTTTTAAGCTTAAAGCAAGGAAAGTTTGCCCATCTGAGGTTCAGTTCGAACAAGGAGTTCAGAAAATACTATCTCATAGGTACAGGGGCAAGAAAGAAGAAAAACTGCGGCCAAATCCATTTTATTGAACCAGTGCCATACCTGAAAAATAAATAGGTCATAGTTCATAATAAATTAAATGGATGAACTTCAAATAGCTTTCTTAGGTAGCTTCCTGCAAATAGCTTTCTTAGGTAGCTTCCTGCAAATAGCTTTCTTAGGTAGCTTCCTGCAAATAGCTTTCTTAAATAGGATATCCTAGCATTGAAGAATTCGAATTTACTAAACAAGCGGAGGAGATGAACAGTTATTTTTCTACTTGGAGTAGTGTATATTTATTCTGGTTCCTGGAAATTTGAATACAATAAGCGGCGAGTACTGTATTTCACTTGGGCATAATCTGGAAAATTTAGTCGATAGTATTTCCATTCCATCAACAACGAAGCTATTTCTGATGCTTGAAAATTTTATTTTCTGTATTTAATTAAATAATGGAAGCAAAGCTCATAAAGGCAATTGGTTGGTTGTATCAATTAATTTAAAGTTTACTTCAAGTATAAAGCAAATGCGCGTTTTATTTCTTCAGAAAATTCTCCCCGAAGATTTCTATCCCTGTTGTAACATTAAGGTAAGTAAATTACCTCAGTTAGTACTTTGTTTAAAAAAAGAGTAGCAACGCCTCTTTATCGCGAGACTGTGATTGGAACAGTAATTTTAAAATTTTTTAAAAGAAAAATGAATTTGTAATGAAGCTGTTTTGTTGCAAATAATTGAAATAAAATGTTTATGCCTAAAAAGAAACTCCTTGTCTGTCAATTTCAAGCGAGCGGTCTCATTTATCTGATTTAATGAGTATCTTTAGTTTAAAGTAACTGACAGTCCCTATAGACAGAGTGTACTTTACCATCATCAAATAGTTTAACCCTATCCATAACGGAGAGACACCATAAAATTTTCTTAACACGTGCGGGCTGACTAGCAAAAAGTGGCTTTAAGTTGCAAAACACTAGCACTTCGCTCTACGATTTCCCCGTAATTTTTTCTTCCTGCATCCAGTATTGTAACGGTAGCACACTCGGCGCGTATTCGAGAGGCACTCCCTGCGAGGGCATTGTTCATTTTTTGTGTCTCCTGCTTAAAAAAACAATGACTATAAAGTTTTTAAAATATTTCTTACATCTAAAGTAAATACTCTCCACTTTCTCCTAGAAAGTCCTCCACTGAACCATCCCTGTTCGTAAGCAAATAGCCGCAATGTGCTTTGCCACAGTTTAATTCAATGCTTGGAAAGCATACTATCATTTGATAATTTCTTGAGTCAGGGCTAGAATACTATTGAAATATATTAGGCCTGCAAAGAATTTTTTTTCTCATTGAATCTTAAAGAATGCATCATAATTCTTTTTAATTCACGTCAAAGGGAAATACTTTGCATATAAATAACAGACTACTTACTGTATGCGTGTTTACCGATTAGAATCATGCAAATTTTAGATTTATTATTTTCAATATGTTTAACATTTCTTTTAATACTGCAATTCTTAGATATCTATATATACATTATTTACAGCTTTTGGTTAAGTATTATATAAACAATACCTGGTATGTAATTTAAGTACTACAGTTTTAGTGACATATGACATTTCCCAATGAGTGCGCTAGGGATGTAATTGGCCAGCACGTCTGATTAACAGTCGGAAGGTCCGTGTTTCGAATCCCTGTAATTCTGTGTTAATACTGCGATTCTTAGATGTCTGCATATACATTATTTACAGCTTTTGGTTAAGTATCATATAAACAATACCTGGTATGTAATCTAAGTACTACAGTTTTAGTGACATATATGACCTTTCCCAATGAGTGCGCTGGGGATGTAATTGGCCAGCACGTCTGATTAACAGTCGGAAGGTCCGTGGTTCGAATCCCTGTGTGTACATAGATGAGTTTTTACGTATTTATGCTACGAAATGAAAAACTTAATGGCTATATAAATTAATATCTGATTGCAGCTGCAATCGTATTGATCAGAGTATCTCAGAGAGCAATATAGTAGTTTAATTATCAGTACTATCACAGGTTATGATGAGTTTTTGACAGCGTGTAGGGAGTTACAGCTATAATACGGTCCTTCACAAATGTATTCCAACGTTGGGAAGCTGCTTTTGGGAGCTTTCCCGAAATTAAATCCACCAAGCAAAATTTGTTAGCAAACCAAGGAATCCTCTTGGTATCCGGCGTTCGCTCCCTTTTTTATACCGCCCATTCCTATCTAGGTGCCTTTGAAGCTAAAAACTCCCTTGGGACGAGAAACCGGGGGCTGTGGCGTAGAAACTACATATTGCACCGCGATCAGTAGCCAATATGTGGAGCTGTTAGTGCGAGTTTTGGTCGATCTCCAAGCCATCACAAGTTATTACCTGTTGTAGAAACCTGTGCTGAATGTAAATATGCAAATATATTTTTATTACTTACTGGCAAGCAAACTTTTCTCCTACTACAATGCAACGGGCTCCTTGTAGACAGTGGGCGTGAGGACAAGACAGTTTTGGCCTAGCTGTTGAGCTCGTGGTCATCACAATGTCGCATTTGTTCCCACGCGGGGTAAAGTTATCACTGCAACGGCAAACGTAGCTTGAATGAGTCGGTACACAGAGTTGAGAACATTGATTGGATGCGCAGCGGTTTATACCTAAGAGGTAATGCGAAAAAAAATAACAGTAAGTTAACAAGTAATTAGTAGTCACCTAGGAACTTAAAATGAAATTATTTTATTTTTAAAATACAAAACATGCTGGCAACAACGTACTTAAAAGGGGACTATATAAATTCTGTAAATTGTTTCCATTCAGCATAGAAATTTTATTTTAAGTGAGTGGTATCTTTGTACTTATTAGAGTAAACCAAAATTAAATTACATGTATATTTTAATTAGGTATTAAATAATTAAAGGCAATGATCTCAAACTCGAATTATATGCGGTCGAATAAGCAGCTAACAGACTGGAATTTTTTAGTCCAAAGGGCAAATTTGCCCTGAAAGACTATTCATTTCTTTTTGGCAATTTGCGTCGAAATCTTTAAAAGGCTGTATCACTTTTCAAATCGTTGTCACCATATATTATCGCCCTGTTTTATATTTAAAGAAATTAAATAATGAAGAATCTGCATAAAAGTATGTATCTTTCTCTCATTGTGATAAACAACGGTACCTAGAGCCATCAAAAATTTGAATAACGTAATCTTCCATAGAATATGGTCATGTGAAAACCCTAATTTTAATTTGAAATTTGTTTTATTATCGATTTCAGATTTTGTAACACTTCAACGAATGTTTGAATTCAACGAACTTTTGACATGTGGCTGGGAGATTTTCTCGCCTTAAAAGTCTTAATACCTTCGTCCGTGTTTTCAGAGAAAGACAGGTATGGATTCAGATGTTATACTCGATTTTGAACACATATTTATTTTTAAAAGAAAACTTGCACGCTGAAGATGAATTTCTTTTACGTAAATGGTGCACCGGAACGTAATGATTTTACGTTCCGGTGCGCTACTAGAATGACGATTTACCTCAGAAAGAACCGATGCCGAGCTCCGTCGCAATTTAAGATCTGTGTAGAGCATTTGATGTCATTTTGATTTACATTTGTAAGCTTGTAGAAAAATTACTAGTAACTATCTACATCAAGAATTGTAAATGCTCATCGAATCAATCTGGTTCTTTTCTTGTTAATTTTCAACTGCGAAAAACACTTTTCAAGTTTAATGTACGTCTAAGCAAAACAGCTATTCTTATTACAAAAATTTGTAATTTAGGATGATTATCTTTTGGCAAGTACGGATAAAAGTTAATAAAATCTATTCAAATATTTGAATAAAATTTATATCATCGCGTTAATTAAGCAATCCCATTTGTAAATTTTCTAGGGCGTTATTTCATTTTAATAGTAATGAAAATAATGCAAAATCCAACTCACTATAACTTAAAATTCTCTTTCAAATTCTTATCATTATAATTAATCTCATATTAATGCTAATTAATTTACACTACACCGATATAAATCTTAATCAAAGACTTGAAAACACAAATTTGATTAACTTTTATTCGTACTTGTCAAAAGAAAAATATCCTTAATTACAAATTTTTGCTATAAGAATAACAACTTTATTTAGGAGAGTATATTTACATATGAACAGTTTTTTTCCTCAACAGAAAATTGAAAAAGTATGAGAAAAGAACCCAGTTGGCCTACAAATATGGAATCGTGATATTTTCCAGGAATTTTTCGCCAAGATTACAAACTTTAACAAAATCAAAATACATATTTCCTTATAGATTCTTGAGATCTTTCATTTGAAATAATAAGGTAAAATTTGAAACGTAGGTTTTTTTTTATCCCAGTAGCGTTTCCCGCGCAGTTTAAAACTCTCCGACCGGCAAAAACTGTATATATATATATATACGGCTTAGAATATTTTTTGTGATGTCTGTAAGGACATATATATACGTATATCTTAAAATATGTCAAGAAATTAAGGCAATGTATTAAAAGTACCTAAATAAAGGTATAAATTACCAGATGCATTTTTATATAAAAGCAAGGAATAATTCTTTCTCACGGCAGCTTTGGAAAATTTGCGACATCTTAGCAAAAATCCGGATCAGTCAGAGGGTTAACTTTAAAAGATTTAATACAAACATACACCGATTTAGAAGTAAAACGACAAATTGTTTCATCATCCAAACATCAAACTGATATTTGCAAATCCTGTGAATATTTCCAAATACAAAGCTGATTTTTGTTGTTTTACTTCTAAATTAATATTTGTTCTGCGTGTTATTTTACATTAATTACCTTATCAAACATACATGTTATTGATAAATTAATTTTTTTCCTTGAAGCTTTTCATTGAGAATATTTAAATAGCCCGTACTAAATCTGTTATCCATGTGCCATTATGTAGCTCATGGATCTCATTTTATTTTTATTAGCACTGGAAGTGCTGTTAGTGTTAAAGCTCACCTTTTTATATGTATCTTCTTTGGGTGCGTATCAATTTTCAAATGTTGCCACCAAATGTTATCGCCATATATTATTTTTAAGGAAATAATATAGCGAATATATAAAAAATAAATGGCAACACGAATAAGATGTTGCACCCAAATGTTATCTCTGTATTATTTTTAAAGAAATTGGGCCCACCAGCAGCCGAGCGGTAAAGTCGCTGAACACTGGTAGTTTGGTCCGAGGTTCGAATCCCGCGAACGGGCTGGCTGCATGGGCATTTTCGTGGTTTTCCCCATGTGTAACGTGTATACGAGCCAGTTTTCCTTAGAAAGTCCTCCACGAAGGCATCCCTCCCCTTAGGCAGATAGCTCTCGAGGTTTTGCCATAATCACATACACACACACATTTAAAAAACAATTGCATGGAGAATATTAAAAAAATAAGACAAAGCACTTTATCAAGAATTCTAAAGATAGCCCATATAAAATTTTTATTATCTGGTCATCATCGAATCGGGGTTATCCTTAATAGCAGTTGCTGTATCTCACCAGACAAAAACGCCTTCTTCTCTGACTGACTATATAAAGATCTAAACAGTACTTAGTACACTATCTCAACGTTACACTCAGAGAATGGCATTGCCAGTTTATTTAACGATTTCCTGGATGATATTGCTGCGTGCGTTCGTAATAGATTGGATGCACACATAAGCGATGACAAAGAAAATTTATTTTACGAAAAGGAACACTTTACAGTTCTGGACCTTTCCACAAAAATACTCCTACAACTCTTCTCAGAATCACACAGTACACTCAGTAGCTAAACTTCAAACTGCTAAGAACGTTAAACACAGGGAGTGCAAAGCTTATCTAAGCGGTAAGAGTGAAGCTCCTACCGGCCACCATGAAATCTCTAGTACCTTATACTTCTCGAAATTACTGGAAGGTATATATGGTTAAAGTTACATCTAGAGGCTGGATACGGTTACAGTTACATTTAGGTATCAATTGCAGTACCAATTACAGTTACACACTGACCGGATCCAAATATCGCCAAATGGTCGCCCAGTTTGGCGACAAAAATTATTTGCTAAAAACATTGCCAGCTTGGCGATAACTCTCCAGTTTAACGAGATAGATATTTACCTCAAAGTGAAATAGACTTGCCCCTGAATCTTATTTTTTTCGGCAGATTTTGTCTCTTTCAAGCATTTAATGTCACATTGTACAAAATAAGTCCAAGATTTGACATATAATTTCACTGAAATTATTTACATATATATTCAAAATCCGTAACAATATTATCTCAACTTGCGAAAAATGCAGCAGGAAAATGAACAAGGTTAAAACCAAACGCACACCTCAGCTTGTGGTTGTCTTCAAAAAGCGTTATGCAACTTGAAGAAAATATCAGCGAACTAGAAACCGGCAGATAAAGCCTTAATGAATCGACTATATAATGCAGTCAGGTATCAAACAAATGAACGAGCTCAACTGGACTGATGCAATTATATCACTTATATTTCAACTGATGACTACCCTCTATAGAGAGTTCTCTCTCTATGTAAGAAATGTTTAACTTCATTCCGCCACTTAAAAGCCTCAAAGGATCTGAAATCTCAGTTCTGAGCAAACAACATTCATGACACGCCAGCAGAATATGTAGTTTCCACATTCGTTTCACAATACCCTACATTACCAGTCACTGACAATATTACACCAGTTTTACTTACGAAGGTATTTGGCTATATTAAGAAACTTCGAATCAAGAAAAGCCATGTGATCGATAGAATAAAAAACAGGGAGATGCTAAAAAAATTTCCGCTTGACTCGATTTTTCAAGCTAAACAAGATCATAAACACTGTTATTAAGCAACAATATTTTCCAAACTTAAGGAAGGGAGCAATGGTTATGCCGATACTAAACCAATAAAACCACAAACTTCGCCAGAATCCTATCAGCCAATTACCTCCTCTAAGCAAATTCTCTGAATCTGTAAAAATGAATGGTTTGCCCACCAGTGGCCGAACGGTAAAGTCGCTGAACACTGCTTAGTTCGGTCCGGAGTTCGAATGCCGGCGAACGGGCTGGCTGCATGGGCGTTTTTATGATTTCCCTCATGTATAATGGGTATACAAGACAGTTTCCCTTAGAAAGTCCTCCACGAAGGTATCCCTGCCATTAGGTAAACAGCCCTCGAGTGCTTTGTCATAATTAAATAAATCAAAACTCCAACTAGTTTGGTTTCTGACGCCAACTTACTGCGACAACCAATTGCATAGAGTTGCGGAGTATATCTCAAATGGAAAACAAAGCACAAAAATTACTGGAAGCCTCCCCCACCTCTTTTCCAGACATAGCCAAAGCTTTTGATCGCATCTGGCTGGACACACTCTCATATACAGGATACACAACCTGGGTTTTCAAGGTTACATCACAATCATTATTAAACCCTGCTTATCCTGTAGACACTTTGTTGTTTGCAATTATAATGCACATTCCACACGCTGTGCCATTTTTAAACTTATGTTTAAACTTACGGATCTTTAGTGTGCAGTGAACTGGGATACTTGAGAAATAGTCATGCATTCGATATGAAAAAGATGCCAAAATATGTTGCATATATAAGATATTTTCTTCTTTTCGAGTCCAAAATGTAATAGCTCAACTCGTAATTAAAATTTCAGAAAATTATCAGTTCAGAGCATGTATCTGATTACGTAAGGAAGGAAGGTAAAATTCAGTTTTATGCGTAACCTTTGGAATTACGTCTGTCACCATCAATAGTTAAAAAAACACTTTTTTTTTTTCAAAAAACAAGTTTTCACAAAACTAATTCTGAATGAAAGAAACGTTTCTAATTTCTAAGGTTGTCATGTTTGTAAGTCATATCTTGCTGTTTTCCACATATATCATGTTTTTCTTTCAAATAGCATGTAATGCTTTACAATAGAGTTTTGAGAAACTTATGGAATGCCACGAAGAGTCATGGTTTTGCAATTAAATTTTTTTTTCTTTTTCTTAAATTCCTGCTCAATGCAATGTCAGTGGTATTTATCTCATATTGAAAATAAGTTTAGCAAGCCCATAAATGCGTCATTAAATAATGTAATTCTCATAGCTGCTCCGAATATAAACGTGTGCAAGTTTGAGAATGTTTAGTTTACTACAATAGAACTTGCCGTAAAATCATCATTCGCATTTACACTTTTGCTGTGCATAATTTTAATATATAGATTTAAAATAAAACAAATCACTGAGAAAATGAAATCTTTAGATTTATTCCTTCAAAGGCTCACTACAGGCCCAAAATATCTAACTTCCGGTTCACGCCGTTAAACAAAATTGCTCATAAAACGTTTTTTGGCCATTGAATGACCAAGCGGAGGAAATCGGTAGGCATTAAAAGTTCGACTTGAGCTCCGATTCTGGCCAAATGGTCCATTATATGAGAGTTTCATTGTTTTCTCCATATTTAATGTGAAAAAATAGACAATTTTCTTTAAGTTACTAGATATATGGCAAAGATCTTTTTTACTAAGTGAAGAGATGCCTTCGTTGAAGACTTTCCAGAGAAAATCTGGCTCGTATTCACGTATAGATGGGGATAGGTTATTTGAATATGCCAAATCCCCAACGGCTATTTGTCTAAGGGAAGGAATGCCTTAATGGAGGACCTTCGGAGAAAACCTCTCTCGTATTCAAGTTACATATGGGGAAACTATAAAAACAAACCTTGCAGTTAGCCCATCTACCTGGAATCGAATTTATATGAAATCGAAGTACTAGTTTACCGTTGTTTTTACCATTCGGCCATTAAGGGAGTGTCAGTTTCTTTTAGAAATACCTCCACTACGTCATCCCTTCCCTTAGGCAGATAATCCTGGTATGCTTCGCCTCAATCAGCTTTTTACCAGAATCTTCATTTATACGAGGTTATTTAGCTTAATATGTGATAAAATTCGTGTGATTAGAGACATTTATGGGAATACAAATTCTCTTTTCAGTGCTGAAACATGGCGAGGAGATTGTTAAGCTCTAACACACATGAAAAGGATAAATGATTAAAATTACTTTTTCGATTTCCTAGTAGTTCCCCTTTCAACGTACGTGTCACGATGCAACATTAAGAGAAAGATTCCAGCTGAAAAATGTGTTTTGGTATAGCCTTCGATTGAATGGTATATTTCGTTATTATTCTGCGTTGTTACAATATGAACCATGTAAGTGTTGCTTCAGACTATAATGTGTCTTAAATACATTTCTAGCTAGAAATTTGTTTTAGAATTTTAGAGGGCAATGAAGATACTAGGCAACTTACTTTCAGGTTGTTGAGCAACATGTACAGCCATCAAAGCTTCAACATAACGGCCATTCCCTTTATGGAATTGTACACAATTTACGCCAGTGAATTTGTTGCACCGTATGAGGCTATCAGTATTATAATCTGCGAAGAACACATAATCTTCAAATATTGTGAAGGTTAATGGAGAGTAGGCGTGGCTGATCAAAATTACTTTCCTGGAAGTATAAGTATAAAAAACAAGTTTTACAACTGTTATATCTACAATTGATTTTAAAAGTTCTTTCAATTCTTAGAAGAATTCGCTTCGGAACTTAATTCTTATAAAAAATAATTAAAAAGAGAAGTTTTCCTTTTACAGTTATTAAAAATATCTGTCAGAATTGGTAAGGCAGGTAGAGGGGACCGAAAAAAGCAAATTTTGTAAAGGAATGTGGTTGCGGAGATAAAGCATTGAGGTGAAAGACACGATTGAGCGTTTTAAGGTAAAAGCATTGTTCTGCCATAAATTGTCATTCCCTTTGCGAATTTCGAAACAGAAACCGCCGATGTGCATTTTATTTATGGTTCTACTCGAAGACACGGCGAACAATTCATAAATACTTCTTTGAAACACTAGTATTTCATTTTATGTGAAGCCCTACACATAAAATGCACATCAGGAAATTCTGCTTTAGTATAGTTACGCATCCTCGAAATTTGCACAGTTGAATGACGATTTGCAGCATCAGAATGTTTTTACCTACTGCACAGCAGTGCTATTTACTGCCTCAATGCGTCATGTCCGTGCCTATATTCCATTATAAAATCTGTTTATTTTGGTCTCCTCTATATTTTTATCAGATATTTTTGAATCAATCTGTATATTAGAAAAGCACATTGGCATGGAATTGCCTTTTTTATATACAAGACTGTTTTGCATTTTTGAGAATACAGTTACAACACTACGTTAGGTTGTGTTGAGAACGGTGCATGCTCTATATTTATAACTGCAGAATTGTTTATTAACATATTTAATTAATATCATAAAAGGAATATCGAAAACATAAATGGCTAATTAGGCATTACCTGTATGGCAACAATTATGCCTTTATCCCTTGAACTCTAAGGACAAATAAAATTATCAGTTTCCATGCCCAAGGACCAAGATTTCGCTAGCTACAAGTTTTTATGAGTTTTGTCTAGATGAGAGTTTTAGAGCATTCTGTGCCATCTTCTTTTGCCTGGATATCCTTCTACAGTGAATTAGGCACATTATTTTACCTTTTTCAATTATATTTCAGTTATTGGATACCTTAAGGCAGAAGACAAGAGGTTGAGAAATCATTGGCTAATTATCTCTCCGATTTAATCCTCTAGTGACAGAGAATCTGAAAATCATTGACTTATATTGTCATTGCTCATGCTCTTACGCATTTTGAAATGTCAAGAAACAAGAGTTATGTGAAGTTATGACTCCTGAAATACTAGAACATAACGCCTCATACTTCTCAATGTTTCCTATATTTAACATTGGCTTTTGGATTTAATTATGGGAGAGAACCTCACAAAATTAACTTCGTAAAGATTTTCTCTTATGTCTTTTCACAATTATTTTGTTCGCAACTATTTAAGACACGAAAACGAATCTAAATCATTCAAATTTTGTATTTCGATGTAAAACCAGTCATATGTATTCAAAAATAGTTTAGTTCTGAAAACGACAACAAACACTTCATAATAAGTTTTTAATCACGTAATTTTGCCATTTTCTTGAAATCTAAAGAATGGCAGGCCAAATAAACTCATTGTTCAATGGAAAACGTAAATTCTTTCTTCTTACCTGCTCTGACCATGAAAATCTGTACATTCCAGAATGTTATACTTAGAATCAAACCAATATATAAGCTTTGGAATGAAATCAACAGTAAGTGAGAGTGGATTAAATATGTTCTCGGAAATTATTGCTGTTCTATTAGAGCCATCCATTTCTGCTCGTTCAATGATTCCAGAACTCCACTTTTGCCTTCTGATCCCCACGCACCAGAACATAAATCTAAAAAAGAAATAACAGTATATTTTCTAAGATGATGAATCTTACTTTAACAGGGTAAAACAAGGAAATAATTTAAGTCAACTCTACCGTAACTGATTACTTGAAATTCAAGCAAATATGTGTTCGCTCTTATTGACAAAATAGTAATTAAATTTAATTATAATTACAATTGTAATTAAATTTAAATAATTTAAATTATACGAATTATTTTTAATTAAATCCTTTTTAATTTTAAATTATTAATAATTACAATTTTCTAGACATATAAAGAAAATGAATGAAATTTAATATAGGAAAAAATCTCCTGACGTAATTTACCCGTATGTTGGTGATATATCGAAACCACTCAGGTACAAGGCCACAGGTTTTAATAACGATGAGCAGTATTTTCCATCTTTGCTGCAGGCTTTGATAGTACCGTCATCTTCAACATAATAAATGATTTTGGTAATCCAATCCCATCTTACATAGCTAGGACTTTTTTCACAACTGATCAGTTTATCTTGTCTATTTGAATCAACAGTATAGCTGTTAATAGTTTTCTGAAAACGAAAGAAGCATTGAATTGTTTAAGTGAAATTTCTATTCAAATTATGCAACAAAGGAAAATGTTATTCTCAAAGCAACAATCTTACTATCTTAATAATATCATGCACTACATGTATAAATAGTATTTTAAAACTATTATCTTTAAAGGAAGAATTTTAAATATTGCCTATCTAAATGCTTAAAGAATAAATCAAAAACATTAATCAAAGACATTATTTGAAATCAGTAACAAAATAAATGATAGGAAGTGTTCCGATATCGATGCATGCAGCAACTTTCTTATTTCCCACATTGAAGTATAAAAGCTTTCAGGCATGGTACCCTTAACCAAAAGCTGAACGTATGAAGATAATCCAGGGTTGATATCATGTGTGGAAGCTTTAACCAAGATTTCTGTACTAAAAGATTTGTTCTTCTTGACCGGCATGATGACGTCGATATCTTATCTAATCCAAGATTTCTCGTTTCTCTTACTTTTTTGACTAAAGTTTGTAACGTGATGTAACGTAAAGCCACGACACTGAGCAAGTAGATAAGATATGTCAATGCCTCGAATGCAAGGCCTAAGTGATACTGGCCCTGCTATGGAAAGGAGTTTGGGAGGTCACGTGATCAAGAAAGGCTTGTAGAGAGTCGCTTTGGACTTTGCACTGTCATTGCTCGATCATTTTCTAAGCGGCATTTGCAATTTGTGATTTTTTTTCTTTTAAAGTTTTACTTGCTTTTCTTTACATTAATAATTTAGGAAAAATATTTCCCCATGAGAGAAAATTTCAGCATTTTTGTATTTATTTCTGTCTATTTTATTTTTAGCATGATAATTCTCTGGATTTAAAGCTATCAGGCCATTCGCAGGAAGAAGCTCAAATGAAAAACGCAGTATAATCCTGTATGAAAAATTTAATAATCACCGCAAAAACGTACACGTTACGTTTAAATTTGTTTAAAATACTAACATTCAATCAGGTTCAACAAAATTCACAATAAAAGTGTTTAATGTACATCACATTAACAGTAGCACAACGCACTTTCCAGTCTTTCCTGATCACGTGACGTTTCAGCGTAAGAGCAACAGTGATGTTAGCAAGGGCTTGTGTAATAAGATCTTGCTCGAATGCCGGAAGGAGAAAGGTTTGAAAGAACATAACCTATCTGTTTACTAACTTTGGACTTAACTTACTTCGAAGACCCGGAAGATGTGAAGCTCTAATTTGAAGAAGAAAAATTAGTGCTTGAAATTACGAATTTGAAGAAAATTCGGTAGTGAATTATCTGCATTAGCAAATACACCTATATTGTAAAACAAAACCTGCTGTATTAATTACTTTAGAGTTCAATGTCCAATCTATAATATCTTTTCTTACCTGAAATCGATCAGAACAATAGAAAACTCCATCAAAAGAGTTGTAGTCTATTCCTCTTAATAGAGAATTCTTAGTTCTGAGATGTACTTTCGGGGTATGTGTATTCATATCTATTCCTCTTATTTCATCTGAAAGTATATAAACAAGTGTGGCTGGCCCACCAATGGCTTTACATCTGCGATGATCATGTTCCAAAAAGTACCCTTCGGCGCAGCTGCATTTGAATCCTCCTTTCGTATTGTTGCAAAAGTGACTACAGCTCCCATAAATGAGGCATTCGTTCACATCTTCACACGTTTTACCATCGGACGTCAGACTGAAACCATTAAAACATGAGCACTTAGGTTCATAAGGAGTCTTAATGCACTTCTGAGAACACCCACCATTTCTGGCGCAAACTTTGGTACACAAACTGCCTTCATCAGATAAATCAGCGCAATCAATTTGAAAGTCACAAACTTTGGACCACGGCAAACATTCCCCGGATGCACAAAGAAAATCCTTGCACTCCTCAACTGTAACAAAAATTAAAAAGAAAAAAAAAAGAACATTAATTCTTAATACCAAAATGTGAATCCAAGAAATGGAATGCATTGAATGAAAGAAACAAAACTGAACACTAACTTTGCTCAATTTTTAGTGGAATACGATGTAAAGTTCTCGAAATACAGTTTGTGATATTTTCATCAGCTGCGTCGCCACAGTCATCATAATTATCACATAACCATCGGCGAGAAATACAGCGTTTTGAAAAGGTGCACAAAAATTCATCCATAGTGCAATTCCTCTCAGCTGTAATAAAAATGGTTAATCCTTCAGCTGGAGGTGCAAGGTCTGGCTTGGCAAATGCTAGCGACATTTAAACATTACTAATGAAAAACTTCTCCCTTTTTAATATTGAACAAAACTACCGCATTTCATTGATTATAGCCTTTTTGACTGACATCTGATATATATTTCGCCAGAAGTCGCCATTCTCGCATTCTCAATTAAAGATTAACCAGAAAATATTTTTTTCTTCTCTAGCAAGATTGTACGTTTTGTACTATCTTGATCTTTCTGTAGCATGCATAAAGTTCGAACAGAATGAACAGTTATTTAAATTTTGTTTCCTTTGTTAAATAACTTACAAGAACTGAAGACAGAGAAATTTACACGTTTATTAAATTTATAATGACTACATGAAATATAATTATGTATGACATCAGTATCAACATCATATTTTAAGAAAGTTATCCTACTTTTAATCCTTTTGCATATTGATGTAAAGTTACACCTCAAGATACTTCATTTTAGACTTTCATATTTTGATATAATAATGCATGAAATAGTAATTAATTATTATATGAATATAAGGGAACTTCGAATCACGAACGCCCCATTTCACGAAGAGTTCGGTTTCCAAACAAATTATCTGAAGAAAATACCGTAGATGATGAATAATGTCTCAAGTTACACTCAAACTAGAAATATATAATTTTTCAAGGTCTTTAGATGTAACCTATGCCGTATAATTAACACTCAGGGAGTTCTAAAAACATTTAAATATTTTCCATTATTTAATCTTTATCACCAATGACCCTCGATGATCAAGAAAATGATCCTACTTCTGTGTTGCGCGAAACATATTAAAAGTGGGGTAAGATGCAAAGTTTTCACTTAATGATATCACCGTGATAAAGCAACAGAAAGTTATACCATAAGCATTTTCAATGCTAATACCAAGCTTTATTTTTAACACATTTTAAAAAGAGGGCAAAAAAAAAATCACATTGTAAAAACTGAGTAAAACAGCAAGTAGATTGGGGTGGCCCTTAGAGATAAAGTAAAGATAAAAGCATCAGATAAATCTCTAAAGAGATAAAAAATTACACCTCAAGATAACACACTTAGATGTACACTGCTCAAAAAAAAAAATGGGACAGTGTTATATCTCCCTTTCTACTGTGCCGATTGACAAAATTCAAACTGTGTTTTTCATGTCTCGAAATCGCGACTTAGGATATATATTATATTTATATATAGCACTATTCTGACATAGGTATTTTGACACAAAATCTGACTTCTTCTGAAATAACATACCAACGTTTTTCCATATTTCGATTCTACGACTCAAATTATGCCAGAATACCAAGTTTTGTAAAAATAGTACGAGTAGTTTTTAAAATATTAGCTCTCAAAATTTTAGCTCCTCAATGTTAATTGAATTTGGCAAATATTTATTAATATCTCTTTTTTTATTAAACTTTTTTGATTTTTTCTCACACATTTCGAAATTTAGGTTCATTCCAAATAAAATTTACCCATTGTTTGTGTTTTTATTTTTTAAATTTATATTTTTAAAATATTTTTATAAATATTTCGAAAAACATTTTGAATTATAACCTATAAAATTTTTTCCATCATCTTAAAGTAGGTGTATTTTTAAGCATATCTGCAAAAAATTAGACTTTTTTATTCAAAATTTTCTAAGATATACACGAATTTACATAATTTCGCGTTTTGAAATTTGGCATCTTTTTTTTTTGAGCGATAATAACGCCAAATGTGGTCTATGGGTTTTTACACTGAATTGCCACAGCTATTTTTAACCTTAAATTTCAAGTAAAATTTTACGGAGAATTAATTACAGTGTCTCACAAAAGTGATGGGACACTTGTGCGTTACAAAAGGAAACTGTAATAAAATAAATTAAAAAAAACATGTAAACATTTTTTGTGGGTGTGTTCCATACTTAAATTTAGTATCAATTATTACATAACATACATTTTCTCAAAATATTAAAATATTAATTTAATAAAAATACAATTGTTTAGAACGGAGCAAAAAATGGCTCACATAAGTGATGGGACACCATTAGATACTACTACGTACTACAATAAAAATATTTTTGGGGTTTTTATTTTTACTCAAAAGCAATTGGCAATAATTTATAAAATCGTCTGCAGTATTTCTCTCCAGTTTGTTTTGGAATTTTTGTGTTTTTTAGCTCTGTGCAGCCATGAATGCTAAACGAAAAGAAACTTTGCCTGAAATTCGAAAATTAGTTATTAATTTGCATATTGAACGTGGAAAATCTATTAGAGAAACTGCTGAAACAGTTAACTTGAGTCATTCAACAGTTTTCAATATCATTAAACGATATAAAAAGAATCATATGATTCAGGATAAAAGAAGACCTGGCCGACCATCAAAGCTATCCAATGGAATAAAGCGAATTATCGTTCGAAATATTAAAAAAAAAAAAAATCCAAGAATGAGTGCTCCTAAAGTTGCTGCTGATTTACAAGCATTATATGGAGTAATTGTTAATCCTGAGACTATTAGAAGAGTAATTCGATCTGCTGGATATCACGGTAGAGCAGCCAGGAAAAAATTCTTCGTAAGTGAAAAGAATAGAAAACTCAGACTGGCTTTCGCAAAATCCAACATAAATAAGAATTCTGATTACTGGAATGAAGTTATATTTGCTGATGAGAGTAAATTTAATATATTTGGTTCTGACGGTAGAATCTTGGTGTGGAGAAAACCCAGGGAAGAATTTCGCAAACAGAACTTGGTGCCAACAGTAAAACATGGTGGAGGAGGAGTTATGGTATGGGGGTGTATGTCGTCCGCTGGAGTTGGTAATCTTGTTTTTATTGACAGTATAATGGATCAGTACAAGTATATTGACATTTTAAATCAAAATTTGAAATCTTCAGCACGAAAATTGAACCTTCATAACGATTTTAAATTCTACCAGGACAATGACCCCAAGCACACTGCTTTGAACGTTAGACTCTGGCTGCTGTATAACTGTCCTCCTGAAATAATAAAACACCACCACAATCTCCAGACTTAAATCCCATAGAGAATATTTGGCAAGAATTGGAATCAAGAATTCGCAAACACACATTTCTTCAAAACAACAATTAAAATCGGTGCTTCAAGAAGAATGGGGTAAAATCACTCCAGAAATCACAAAAAAATTAGTCGAATCCATCCCAAGAAGATTAAATCATGTTTTAAAAAGTAAAAGGAAATCCAACAAAATATTAAAACCTTTTAAAAAAGTAAAATTTTTGGATAAATATTTGATGGAAAAGTAAGTGTCCCATCACTTATGTGAGCCATTTTTTGCTCCGTTCTAAACAATTGTATTTTTATTAAATTAATATTTTAATATTTTGAGAAAATGTATGTTATGTAATAATTGTTACTAAATTTAAGTATGAAACACACCCACAAAAATTTTTACATGTTTTTTAATTTATTTTACTACAGTTTCCTTTTGTAAGCACAAGTCCCATCACTTTTGTGAGACCGTATATAACAATTTTTCCTCAATGATGCGTAATAAATATTTATTAATACTATATGAAAAGCTATTTTTTTTAATTTAGATGATATTATTCAAATTTTTAACTATTTTTTAAAATTTCTCCCTATCTTCCTTTTTTTTTTTAAAAAAAAGTTTTTGTAAGAGTAAATTTTTACCTTCGGCGTTTTGTCGTTTGCTACTTTACTTCGTTTAAATCGAATTGTCTAAAACTGAGAATTTTCGTTTGATGTTTATTTGAACTTTATGACATTAACTGCTTAATTTATTTCTAAACAAACTGTTGCTTTTGAAGTGACTGAAAGAGCGGCTGATACTATCATCCATATTTTTAAAGCACAGTATATTTTTATAGAAACTTAAGATTTAGAATAATCATTTTTATAAAAGTCAAATTATGATATAAACATACAACCCTCTAGAGACTGAATTAATGGAAGTTCAATGGTTATGTAGAAATGATCTGCAGCTACAATGGCTGGATAAGTCAGCAGATTCTGTGGACAAGTAAGAATAATTATATAAATGACACCCAACATTCTGGATTCAATTAACAACGAGGATACGATGTTTGTTAAATGAATTCAAGAAGTTTTAAAACATAAAAAATCAATTCATTTCTTATCCTAAAATGTATTTTTGTGCGTAGCGTATTTTCATCATATTCTTAAAATTCTAATTTAGAATGTAATTGTCAAGAACTGAATCCTTATCATCAGTAATATAATAAGTAATTATTACGGTTATTAATAAATCCTTCTTATAAAGTAATTGCAAATATTTAAAAAAAACTTTGTCTGAATGCAATCCAAAAATTTTACTTTTTAAAAGGTTTTAATATTTTGTTGGATTTCCTTTTACTTTTAAAACATGATTTAATCTTCTTCGGATGAATTCGACTAATTGTTTTGTGATTTCTGGAGTGATTTTACCCCATTCTTCTTGAAGCACCGATTTTAATTGTTATTTTGAAGAAATGGTGTCTTTGCGAATTCTTGATTCCAATTTTTGCCAAATATTCTCTATGGGATTTAAGTCTGGAGATTGTGGTGATGTTTTTATTATTTCAAGACAGTTATACAGCAGCCAGAGTCTAACGTTCAAAGCAGTGTGCTTAGAGTCATTGTACTGGTAGAATTTAAAATCGTTATGAAGGTTCAATTTTCGTGCTGAAGATTTCAAATTTTGATTTAAAATGTCAATATACTTGTACTGATCCATTATACTGTCAATAAAAACAAGATTACTGACTCCAGCGGACAACATACACCCCCATACCATGACTCCTCCTCCACCATGTTTTACTGTTGGCACCAAGTTCTGTTTGCGAAATTTTTCCCTGGGTTTTCTCCACATGAAGATTCTACCGTCAGAACCAAATATATTAAATTTACTCTCATCAGCAAATATAACTTCATTCCAGTAATCAGAATTCTTATTTATGTTGGATTTTGCGAAAGCCAGTCTGAGTT